CACCGGTATATTCATGGCATGGCTGAGGACCTCCTGTAGGTTTAAGGTGGTCCAGTTACTTTGTCTGTATAGTGTATATCCTGTACAAGGTGTCTGATCACACCAGCCCACATAGCAGCAAACAGCAGCATTTGATTCCAAGAGGTAATGCTTCTATTTCAGTCGTTATAATGTCCATAGTGGAAGTCTGGGAGTGAAGCAAGATCCAAGGTTGTCAGCTGAGAGACACTTTAATCTGTTATTAATGTCCCCATGTTTTTGATTACTGTTTTTGTTTATACAACGTCTTTGTTTATTAAAATAAAAAGTTAAAAGAAGTTAGACTTTCTCTATGTATTCTTGTGTCTATTTTTCATTTAAAGAGTAAATATAGGAAGCATGTCAGGAATATTCAGAAACAACCTTGAGAAGAGCACACAGAGAAACACTAGTGTAGTGCAGGGAGTGATTGCCTGAATGTCAGACTTCAACATCAGTCTCTCCAGAGCCTGACAACTTCCTGCTGGAGTTTCCCATCTCAGACCCTCCTTCACCTTCTTTGAGGAGTAGCTCACACTGCCATTCATATTGTTTACCCCAAATTCTGACCCTAACAGACCTGAATAATGTGACAGCAGTTTGTCTGATCAGGCACTGTTTTTGTCCAGTTTTACTGAGCCTGTTTAATTTGATTTTAAGCTTTGTATTTTTAGGTGTCAGCACCCTTTGTGGTCTTCTGCTGCTGTAGCCCAATGCAATGGGAATAACAGGCTATGTGTAAGGTAACATGAAAGTAATATAATGAAGAATATAACAAATCACTTCAACAAAGAGTACAAACGTAACGTAATGCACTGTATTTAAAAATGTAACAAGTGTAATATGTTTCTTTTATATATTTTGTGTAATTACACCCCTAACATATACTGAAGTGAATTTGAATTATTCGTGATCAACCAATCTGTTATGGGCTCTGAACACCAGGCAGAGAAGATGTCTCAATAGCAGGATTGAACAGTGAAGCATTTTCAGTCTCAAGTCTTTATAAACACAAGAGGAAATAACAAAGGAATCGAGGTGATAGTCTGAGTCAAGGTTAGGAGGGAGCGTCACTTAGTGAAAGAATAGTTTGGTTATTGGTCAGAAACGGATATTAAGATGTCTCTGAATGTGACTTGGGCAGTGAGAGGGAATTTTCTGGCTTACTTGGTGTGAAAGGCAAGTGTGATGTGGAGGGAGTCTGGTGGTTTAAGGTAGGAAAGGAGCTCCAGGAGGTCAGGCAAAAGTGTGCAGAGTGTAAGTGGAAGCTCAAAGCAAGGACATAAACATCTTAGAACTTGGAAACTGGAGGTTTTCAAGAAGTCAATTTACCATGCAGAGCTAACTATCTTGTGAAGACTGAGTGCCCACATCATTCAAGTACATTGTGTGTGTGTGTTTGGATGAATGTTTTTGGGGTTTCTTTACAAATTGAGACCAAATCACAGTAGGAATAGCCTGTCACTGTCATTACTTCCATTGCTGCCACTGCTACTGGACTCTCATTGCACTACTAATAGAGTAATGCAACACAGATATGCTGTATAAGGTAAATGAATAACAGGCATCAACTAGAATTATGTGAAAATTGTTGCAATGACACTGAAGAACTACCTCACTGTGAACGTATCATCCATAAATAGAGTGAGGACTGCTGTATAATCAGGGCACACTGGTGACACCAGTAATGTGTACTGATGCATGTTGTGTGGCGTACAGTCATAGACATGTTGTTAACCTGCACAGGTGATAGAAGCTGTTTTAGATAAAGTGTGAGGTTTTCAAAATTCATTATAGTTGGAAATTTTGTGTTCAAATGATGTAGAACAAATTTTCCACCAAAATTATGAAATGAGCAAATTTTTATGCTCAGAAAACAATTTTCATGTCACAGTTGGTGACCATATAGAAATACGGCTGCTTTCCCCCCTATTTTGTTGAATTAAAATTGCGTATACATGCTGAATGTTGTTCTTGTATAACCATTTATGTTTCTCTACTTGACTCACTGATATTTAAACTGGTAAGATCCATTTGTAAAGCATTTTTTCTAACACTTTTAAATACAAGCAGCATTTTGTTGTAAACCATCATGTGTGTAAATATATCCTTTGTGCTATGTGACTACCCGATTAGATATTTCTGTTAACTAGCAGGTCAACAGGCGTACTAACAAAGTATGCTAACAATAAAAACATTACAGAATATCTATTTATAAACTCAATTTTAATACTAGAATATTAAAATACAGTTGAACTACTCCTTGTATAATTCCTACAGTGGTTTCAACCTTTATGTTCAATGGCACTGCATGACCATAACCACAGTCATTTTAAGACAGTCATGGCGCTCAGAAGATTATGACCTAAAAAACAAATGTTTGCAAGACAGCCCTGTGATATTTTCCGTGGTATTCAGACCACAGAGTTTTGTCTCTTCCTGTTCAACATATCTCACACACCTTTATGCCCCTCTCACTATTAAACTAAAGCAGAGCCTCACTACCTCTCAATACAAAAAATAGTCTCCATTATTTATCAATCTTCACTAACTCCTACCAATCACAATGGTTTGCTCTCAGATAAAGTCATAGCAGCTGTGGTGGGAGACGGAGAGATAGCTAGAAAGTGAGAAAGTATTAGAAGTTACTGTTTGTATTAATCTTTATTAGAAAAAGTGTTTTTTGTTAAAGGTGGTTGTAAAGATTTACATACACCAACTGTACAGAACTCCACAAGCAGATAAATATGATAGCTTTCACTTTGTGCTGCTGTTCGGTTATTTTGTGAGTCTATCTCGTAGCAGCGTACAAAACATTTGGCTCCAGCTCCCTCTGTGGTGGAGGCCTTCTCATGTTTGTTCTGGTATGGAAACTCAGTGCTGCATAGTTCATGGCATCAGACTCTGCATTCTGTAATGGAAAATGGGAGAGATGGAAATATGGTAACATTTTCTGTTTTATGCAT